TTTTCTTCTTGTATTTAAATTAATTCAATGTTTTCGCGATAAACAAGTATTTATTATACAAGTAAAGCACATAAATTCATGCCAAGCCATGAAGTTATGGGTTGTCGACCCGCAAAGCTATCAAAAGTATCCGTTATAACTGATTCCAGTAATTATTAATATTAACACAATTTTGTTGAGTTTTATTTAAATTAATTGTTTCATTAATAATTAGTTTCCAAATGTCAAAACGGAAACAAAGTTTTTGTACAAAGTATCGAAATTAATGGTTCAATTGACAATTTGGACAAAACTGAGACATATGTAAGTATTCTCTCTCTCACTCATTCATTCACTCACTCGTTCACTCACTCACTCACTCACTCACTCTTATAGGCGATTGACAAATAAATATATGATTTGAAATATTTATATAAAATCCTATCCATAATAACATTTATAATAACTGGTATCCAGTGGTGACATAACGACAACACATTCACTTTCAACAACACATAGATTTTCATTTGTTGAAAACCATTTCTCTATCTCTCTCTCTCTCTCTCTCTCTCTCTCTCTCGCTCTCTCTCGCTCTCTCTGTAATTATTATTATTTTTGCAATAAATGATTACATTTTATGCAAAATGCTATTTATTTAATTGAAGTTATTGTTACAATGAATTAAATTCTTGAATGAATACAGTTTTTATAGTATAATAACATAAATTATTATTGCTATTTAATATGTTTGTATGAAAAATGTAGTAAAACATAACATGTAATGATTTGATTTAAATTATTGGTAATGTTTTTTAATAATAGTAATGTTTAAAACCACAAGAGATATGCAATGAAAGATATAAAATATTAATTTGCTATAACTTTCATCAGTCATGTAAAAGCGTTAATCGTTTTGTGTTTTAATTGCTTTTATAGCAATCAAATATTAATGAGAAAAACGCATTTAATGTGTTTATAAAATGCATTTGAATTTGTTTTTGTTTTGTATTAATATTGGGAGTATTTATCGTAAAGATCTCTCATTTAAATAATAATCTATTTTTTTGCTCAAATAGAGAAATAGTATATCGTTTAGGGAATCTAATTATTATTTAATGTTTTTTGTAAATTATAAATTTTATTTTGAATTTTCCGGATTTCTATCTCAATTACTTGTAAAGAATATTCTTAATGTTAATGTTGTAAATCGATTTCAAGACCTATATTCTTATATACTGTAAATTCTTAACGACTGAAGCATATAAACTAATTTAAAATCATTTCATTTGTGTATTTATATAAATTGAAAGTCAATATATTCTTTGTGCTGTAAATCAATATTTTCTCATAACTTATTCATTAGATTTTAGAAAATGATAAAAATGCTGACAATTCAAACACAACAACTAACAGAAGGTGAGAATATTATTATATGTAAATATTTGTCATTGAATTATATCTACATTTGTTGAATAATTAATATCTGTTATGAATAAAGAGAGGCCTCAAGAATCGCATGGAGGGAACAGAAGAGTGTCCGCCCGACCCGTACTATAAGTCCTATTTTCAAAAGTGTTCCGCCGATAGTGTTGTAAGTTTTTGACTAAAAAACTTTTTGTGATTATTTTAGTTATCCATTCATTTAATATGTAATACTTTTAAAGGGAAAGAAGCAAAAGTCAGATTGAATTCTTCAAACAATTGGAAGAGAAAATGGAAGAGGTTTTTGGCATTTCATTCAATTATTGAACAATTATTAAATTTCTGTTTAATTAAACACTTTTTCAACGATTAATTTTAAAGGGATTGAGTGTAGAGGAAGCGGATGACCAAAGCATCGCAACCAATGTTATAAAAAGTATATAACTAATGACCAAGGAATGAATTAAATGTACAAATTATCTATAAAATCGAAATGTCAGATAAAAATACTGGGAATTATGCTAATAGTGTTTTGTTGAAAACATTTAATCTCAATGGGAATACATTGGGAATACTGGCAATGAGTGACTTCAGCTATTAAGTGGTTGGAAAAGTATTGATTTTTCAGAGATAATAATACTGTTTGCTATAATACAGTACAGTATTCAAGTCTTTAGTAATAAAAAGTTATATCGATTACAGCACTGAATCAATAATGAGTTACCAAAAAATATATAAACGATATATAATTTTTATTTTCATATTTCGATTTGATTGTCATTTTTATAGATACGAGAAAATCAATTGAAACACACAAATAATAGAGAAACGTTTGTTCATGTGTTATTTTCTTATCGCTTATATCATAGATAAGTTTATTATTATGTAATTTATTTAACATTATAAACAATATAATAATTGTGTTTCGTTTTTCCAAACATGATATTCAGTCATTAATTATAATAACACACAAATATAATAAAGGATGACATTTAAGTTTGGCAAAGAAGTGCATGAGTTAGACATGATTTCAACTAAAAAGTATAACATTATTTGGAAATTAAATTGTTGTTTAATAATGAGCTTAGATTTTGATGATTTTAACCATAATTTAGTTATCAATATAATTTAACTAAACAATAAGTATAAGTAAAACAACTGATCACACAATTTATTTAAAGCGCTCAATACATGCATAATACAAAGTACTGTACATTATATTTATTTTTTGTTTAATGAGAATATTTATGAGATATATTTATTGTAAATTTACCACAATTGTCCAATGAATTGAAATTACTGTATTACTATAATTTCACAAAATATAATTTATAACATTTGTGAAGTATCCAGAATTTATTAATAAATTAAAATTACCATTAAACATTTTTATAATAATAAAATTCGTGTATCGATTGTAATCATTTGAGTTCATAAAATATTTATTAACCTTTATATAAATTATAATTCATATTGTAATTCGTATTGTAATTAAAAATTCGGTAAAAACAATAACATATTCATCGCTGAATTCATAATGATTTTGACATTAATTATGTAAAACTAAACATATTTTAGTTAATAAATCGTATTTTAAAGTCAACTAATAATAGCTCACCTGAAAAATAACGGGTTTAAAAAGCATGTTAACAGATAACAATGTTAAGTTCAACAAAATAACAAAATAAAACAATGTTAATTAACTTTAATAACAACCATTGCTATTCAGATTGTTTTAAATGCGAGAGAGAGAGAGAGAGAGAGAGAGAGAGAGAGAGAGACTTGTATTGCTTGAATTATTATTGCTAATTATTTAATAATAATAATTAAAATTTATTTCTAAAATTAAATTCAGTGTTAAATAAAGTGTTGAAACGCAAAGTGTTTTAATAATTATAGATATAATTCTCGTTTAAACAAAACCGAAATTCACTGTTTCGTGACTTTTATTAGAGTATTAAAAAAGTTTTTTTTATAAAAATAAAGTTAACATAACATCAAAACAATGGCACAGTTTTTATTTTTATTATTGTATATAAAAAACAATTATTTCGTATAAAAATAATCTGGTTTTTCGCAGTAAAAACACAAAATTAGATCCAAATTAATAATAATAATGAAAATACAAAAATTATTTCGCTGTAATGACATAATAATAATAAACAGTATTTTATAAAATACATTATTTAAGTGATAGTTAATACCGATAGAGATAGTGGTTTCAGATGTAATGGTCTGTCTCTCTAGTGTCTGGGATTCTTTGGTACAAATGGTTTGTCCAACGAATTACACAAATCATTACTTATTTTATTATAATAATTAATTTATGTTATTTGTAGCGATAAAACAGCTATTTTTCTCACATTAATGGAGTCTAACATTAAAATTAATGAGATTTGAAATAAGAGGGCAGAGAAAACAGATTCACTATAATTCCTACAGTGTATGCAAAAGTTGTGAAGTTTTTAAATGCTTTTTTAGTATAAGTTATGGATTACAGCGACCGTAAGAATCGAGTGGAAAATTACGATAATTTTTTAATAATAAAAAAACTGTTTTCATTATATGTTTGTAAAAATTGAGAAATAAATTGACTCTTAGAAAAAATAATGGGTTGAATTAGTTGCGTGTTTAATATATAAGTTATTTATTTGATGATTAGTTGCGTCCGCCATCTCTCTCTCTCTCTCTCTCTCTCTCTTACTCACTCACTTGCAAACAAATAGTATGTATTACTTAACACTTAAAATAGGTTTTAAAGTGTATTTTAATTAAAGTGCTATAATATGTGATATCGTGGAAAAGGCGATCACAAACACAACCATTCATTTTATCGATGAGACGGGCGTTACTACTCCAACCACTATTAGCGCCCAAAAACGCTATCTCTATATTAGAAAAAATCTACTTTTATGTGTCTTTTTAGCCAAAAATTGCATTTTATATAAACTAACGAAGAGTTTGACGACTTTTTTGAGACACAAATAATAACAAAATTATACAAATTTCACGCTTTTTTGCTTCTTTAATACCAAAAGCAATTTAATTCAAATTAATAAAGTTCTGTTATAATAAAACCTAATATTTTTCACTCATAACACAATTGAATTATTAAATTGTGATTTTCATTGAGATAGGAGTTTATAGGAAGAGAAAAACAAAACTAAAAGTTATCAAAAAAGGGGAAACAAATTTTTGGGCGATAATTACAATAACAAAATAGTGACTCACAAAATATAAATGAATTTTAGTTTTATTTGTGGCAATATTTTTTGTATTGAGATTTACACAGAAAACCAACAATTTTTGCGCACAGAATAGGAATTTATAATTGTTTTTTCTTATCGTATTTTATTTTCCTTTTTATTTATTTAGTTTTCTTCTCAACGGTATTAATGGTTGCACTCATTCACTCATTTACGGGATTAAGCGGTTATTAACGCTAAAACCTTTTATCATTCAATACACCACTCGAATGGGTATTTAATTAAAAAATAAAATAAAAATACACTTAAATATCAAAAAATAACTTCTTTTCTCTCTCATGATTGCGAGATTTGAGCGATTCTTACATTGTTTAGTCCACTGCTAAATAGGTTAGTGTGAATGTCAAGGACGTACACTAAATAGATTATTACATAAAGAGCCCACAAATTAGGTCGAAAAGCGATCATTTCTAACACTAAACACAATTTATAAATTTACTTATAATAGCATATCTATAAAGAAAATAAAGTTTCTCATATATTTTGGTAATCTTTAACCATCGCTCATGTAATTCACTACTTATACTGAAAATTCACTTCATTATAAATTATCCCAAAAATATAACTAAAACAAATTCTAGCACTCAATTCCCTCAGCCATCGAAATACTAGTTAACACACAATTATATTACATCTTATATGTGTCCCGGGGTTTCATTTCTATGCCTTTTACTTGACTTTTGCCGAAATTAAACAATTGATTATAACAACAATAACTACAGACAGACAACAGTTATATAAGTGTTCGCAATAAGTTATTGTTGGCATAAGATTTTGATCTTAATATCAATTTACAATGGGATGGTTGAGATAACTTGCCATCAATTGTCGTCTATATGTTATACCTTATAATCATTATTGTAAACCATTTTTCTCGAACAAAAATCAGTGTTAAAACTTTTTTAATGCCGTATTTCTATGTATGCGTTAATTACAATCACTTGTTGTGATCAGTGATCGCACACATGGATTGGGGAGGAATGGTGTGTACGATATAGTGGTGTCTAAGAAGTGGTGTGTCTCGAGACCAACCAACCAAACCTGCACAAAATCCAGTCCCCGTTATGTTCGCTCACAAGCGTGTAATGTCGTGGTGACCGAGTCGCTATTGTGACAACTCTGTGAAAAAACACGGCTGAAAAATTACCCTCTATAAGTTAAACGATTTTGTAAAAAGCAATTGTGCTTTCGGTCGGTTCGGCAACAGCTCTGAGGATTAATTCATAACTCATTTGGAGAGTCGAGCGAACAGAATATAAGAGAGAGAGAAAGAGATTTTTATATTTCATATATTATTGAGGAATAAATTGAATTTTGTTGTTGTTTTGTGTAATTTATATTATAATTAGTTAAGAAGACTAATAAGTTAATATATTATCATAATAGGTTTATTTATCGTAATATTACTCACGTAATTCATATGTAAAAGCCGATTAGTAGAGTTGCGACAAACATGACGTTCCATTCTCTGAAAGCCTTTAAATTTAATTGTATATTTATAATAATTATAACCAATTTATCATTAATACCATATATTTTTAAATATTTAATGTTAACTCAATGACACTTTTCAATGTTTCAAAACTTTTATATAATGTATTTTCAATGAACTTCTTTCGCAATGAGATCTTGAACTTCGTCTCTCATATATTCCTCTAATTGGGAAACATTTTTCCTATTTATGAATAAATTATTTTTATTTATAAAAATAGTTGTGTTTGTAATCCCGTTATTTTATGGACGCATTATATGTTTAACTTATTTAATCGGTTTATTATTAACCGAAAACACTATTACATTATAATCCTCGCAAAATTTCGTATAAAATCTGAACATTAATTACATGTTTTCAATATTTTAAGATCCAAATAATGCTTAAGCGTACTTCAATAATCAAGTATCCAACTGCTGGGTTACGACCCGAATATTTACCCAGTAGTGGTGTTTTTTGACTATGTTTTAATCGTAGTTAAAATAATTATAATTTATTAAACCGCTTGTAAATGTCAGAATATGCAACCAATTTGATAATTCTGTACACTATTCACGTCTACATTAACTGAAACCGATAGTACAGACGAATTCTGTATACATTTTCCACATTAAGTTATTCCCAACTATTTTTGCCGACAAATGTCGGAATTTAGATTTTGGGAAAAATCATTTTTTAATGTTTGTATTAAATACAGAGCAAAACAACTTTTATATAATAAATCTGTTTTATCTTTTATTTAATAAAAAAAAACTTTTGCATGAGTTTTATGGGTCTTGAGGTCAGTTCAAAGTGTAACTTATATGAGATGAACAGCTAATATGAAAACTAATTGCCTCTCTCTCTCTCTCTCTCTCTCTCTCTCTCTCTCTCTCTCCTCAGTTTAGAGATAATATTAATCCATAAGAATAAAGGAAATTAGTTTAAGGTATAACTTGCCTTAAATTTTCTTGTCTTACATATGATATGCAGTTTTGAAATTAAAATGAGATGAAAATAATTTACAAAAAATATTTTAATGTTTAAATTATTCTTCTTTTGACTTTTGATTTTGTCTACAGAGAAGACATTACATCAGACTTTCCTTTAATTTATTGTGAACTAAATTGTTTTGGGCTTTGAATTATCATATGTTTAATTTAATTGCGGTATTAATTATATCATATGATTTGTATCTTAATGTTATATCAATTGAAAAATGTATATAAATTATTCCAATTATCAAATTTGACCAATCATTTAATAAAAAGATAGCAATCATATGTAATTATGAATAAGTTTTGAGGCAAAACTAAAAAAATTAAGTTTATTTATTGAAAGTTAAATTATTAATTAATCCGATACTAATATATTTGCTTATTAAACGAGATTACATTAGAATTTATACTTTAAACAAGTGATAAGTAACCAAACATAACATAACCAATTTTGTTTGAATCGGGAACAGTCTGGTCACAGCGTCAATCACCACAATTCTCATTCAGTCCAAACCAAAACCAGGGCTATCAACCGCCGGCGCAGACACAGCCACAACCGGCACAGTCACAGCCCAGTAGACCGGCGGCCGCCGCTTACTCGGGAGGTTTCAATTGCCCCCAAGATTTCGGTTTCTATCCACATGTCAAGAGTTGCGACAAATACTGGGCGTGTGATAACGGTATGTCTTATACAAGTAGTTATTACAGTATATATTGAATTCATTGACTCTCCGGTGTTGAACGCCAGGCACGGGTACACTGAAGACGTGCGGCAATGGTCTAGTGTTTGACGACTCGGACGCCAAGCGCGAGAACTGTGCCTATCCTTTCTCTGTCGACTGCGGCGAGCGATCAGACTTAGGTAAGTGTGCCCTTCAGTCCATTCATTATATGTATTGTATATTTGGTGTGTCTTCGAGACAACCACTTAAAACACTTTTATCTACATTTAAAAGTATTAAATAACTGTGTCATCAGTCCTTTCGACACATGCATTGCGTGAATGCTTTTTGATTTACACTTAATTTTTTTATTTATTTAGAAAATACAATTGACTTCTATTTGAGAGATAAGTTAAGACAAAAACACATTTTGTTCGCCAGTCATCGCTAATAATCTTTTGTGTTTTTAATATAGATATTCAAATTGAATAGTTATTTAATAGTTTAGCGTTCAAAGCATTCATGCGATTACTTATACATTAAAAACTAAAACTTTTAAACGAAACCTCGATTTTCAAATGTCTTAATTTGAAGCCATTTATCTAAATAAGAGTCGAAAAACTATATTTGTATTCACAAATCAGTTAAACAAACGTTTGTTTTGACACTATTTGTACCGAAACACACTTAATATGCAAACAATTAAAGTAATTAAACAAATGGCAAAATTCAAACCACTTATACCCACTAAACAGAGCCGCCGATAAGCACTCCTCATTGTCCGCGATTGTACGGCATCTTCAGTGACCCCTCAAACTGTCGGGTCTTCTACTCGTGTTGGAACGGAGAGGCGTCCAAATACGAGTGTCCGCCCGGTCTGGCCTATGACGCCGACCAACGCGTGTGTGTTTGGGCCGATCACGTCGACCGATGCGACTCTTCGGGTATGTAATCACACGTTTGTATTTTGTTTGTTTGTGTCGTTTACGGAAGTCTTTAAATGTTATGCGCTTTTTATTACTGAATTATTTGGCTTACGAGACGACGAGTCGTAATCAGTAGAAAAAAGTAACACAAAAAATATATAGAATAAAAAAATTAAAAATATTTTATTTATTTTGTTAATAAAAACCATTAGACTGTAAATGTTCGCCAAATTATTTAATATTAATAAAATTGATGCTAATTTTGTATCAGTTTTTTGTGGTGATGACCCATTTATAAGCCCAGCATTGGGTCGTCAACCTATGAACTAATAACTTCAGCGCTTAAGCATTATTTGGATCTTAAAATATTGAAAACATGTAATTAATGTTCAGATTTTATACGAAATTTTGCGCGGATTATAATGTAATAGTGTTTTCGGTTAATAATAAACCGATTAAATAAGTTAAACATATAATGCGTCCATAAAATAACGGGATTACAGACACAACTATTTTTATAAATAAAAATAATTTATTCATAAATAGGAAAAATGTTTCCCAATTAGAGGAATATATGAGAGACGAAGTTCAAGATCTCATTGCGAAAGAAGTTCATTGAAAATATATTATATAAAAGTTTTAAAGCATTAAAAGTGTCATTGAGTTAACATTAAATATTAAAAAATATATGGTATTAATTATAAATTGGTTATAATTATTATAAATTACAATTAAATTTACTCCGAAAGTCTCTTACCTTGCAGTACAAACAGCGTTGAGATGATTAGCCGAAAATGTATACTTAATGCACTCATTATAATGCTATTTATTTGGATAATACTATTATATAATTGAATAATCAGAAGAA